GGAGAGGGACATGGCATGCGGGACAGCCCATGGAAAGGTACAAAGGTGGGAGAAGGAATGGTGTATAACAGAAGAACAAGAAGGTCAGTTTGGCTGGAATTTAAAGTTTGTGAGAAGTGATGTGAAATCAGCCTGGAAATATAGGTTAGAGCCGAACTTTGAAAGCACATAATAAATGCTAGGTGACTGACTGACTGAAAGACATTAGTGCCGTACAAAGGAATTTGTGTTTTATCCTCGAGGTAAGAGTGAGCCCCTGGAATTCTTGAATAGGGGAGTGGCACAGTCAGACTTGCACTTTAGGAATATCAATTTGGCAGCTGTGGAGAGAGTGAGTTGAGCTCTCGTTGAGCATGAAATCCAAAATCCCTCAGATGGGGAGACTGAGACTCAGCTAGGGGAAGCAGTTGTCCAAGGTCACACAGTGAATTTAGTGACAGCCAGCACCAGAAATCAGGTCTCCTGATTACCCAGTCCAGGGCTCTCTCAGAGGCAACACACTGTCTCTGATCATTAGTAAATGGGTGTCGGATGCTGGTGGATCACAGCCATACTAATTACAATGAGATTTAATAATAAGGTGTCTCCAGGCTGTTCATTATCAGCAGGCGGGCCTTGTCTTGTGGCTCCCCTGGGTCCCCCTCCCTCTCCCCCTCCCCATCTCTTTCTCCCTCCTCTTTCCCAGCCCATCCCCCATTGTTCTCAACTCAGACCTCCTCCCAGCGGCTGGCCGCATCACCCACATCCTCCTCTGGCGGCAGCTCAGTTTTAAAAATAGCCCTAGAGCGTGTGACTGGGAGCGGCAGTGGGGAGGGGCCACTGAATCTGGCAATAGACCTGCCAGGGCAGGGCTCTGAGCTTCTCTCCTGGCCTTACCCATTCAAGCTAGCCCTATGGTCACAGGCCAGGAGCAGTGAACTTATTAGTGATGAATGTAGCTGCCCACAATGCCCCATGGCTGCTTTCCCAGGTCTGTGGAACGCAAGGGGAAGGGTAAATAGAGGAAGGCAGGGTCACAGAATATGAAAGAGCAGAGAAGCAATAAGCATGCAGACCATAGGTCACAGTTTGGGAAATTGTTTAACACAGGCCTGGGTCATTAGATCTTAGAGCGTTTTTTTTTAAGCCTGGAAGAACAGGTAAAGATTATTTTTCATTTTAAACCCCTTGTTTTACTGATGAAGAAATTGAAGTTCAGAGGAGTTATTATGAGCATTTCATTGATCTCTAACACTGAAATCCCTTCCCTCTTTCTGAACCCTAATTCCCTTATCCAATCCTCCTGCTCACTGAGCCCCTATCCTCTAAGCCTCCATCCCCCCACCCACTCTCCCTCTAGGTAAGACCCCATTCCTTTCACGGAATCTTTATTCCCTCGAAGTCTCCATTCCTATCACTGAGTCTGTCTCCTCTTTTATCTTTCCTCTATCTATTCCATAGTCCAGGGTTGTCACCTCCTGAACAAAGCTTATAGATAGGTAGGGAAAGTCACTCCTAATTTGCTGGGGATGAAACAATTCTAATTAGTCCCTTGAGGAAGGGGTCTACTTTGGTTTTGTTTTTATATCTTTAGCATCTAACAAAGCATCTTGAATATACTAGGCACTTAGTAAATGTTTGTCACATTGAATTTGTTATATAATCGATGATGCAAAAAACTGTCACAAGTGCATAACACTTTCTTGCCTCCATAGCACCTCACTATGTATATTTAAAATACATTTTTATTGATATTTATTATATTACCAGAATTACTCTTAGGATCCCTTCTCTTCCTGCTCCTAGAAAGCCATCCCATATAAAGAAAGAAGGAAGGAAACAATCATTTATTAAACACCTACTACGTTACAGCCACTGTGCTAAGCACTTTACAAATATCTCATCTGATCTTCACAACAACCTGGGAGTAGATGCTATTACTACCCCTATTTTACAGTTGAGGAAACTGAGGCAAACAGAAGTTAAGTGACTTGCCCAGGATTACATAGTGTTTGAGGCTGAATATGAACTCAGATCTTCCTGACTTCAAGCCCAGCACTGCACCTAGCTACCACATAATAAATACTATTTTTAAAGAAAAAGAAAAAATGAAAAAGAGACAGAATAAGAAATGCTAGGAACTAGCTTATCCCCATTTTATTAATGAGGCTCGGAGAGAATAAATTACTTACCTGAGGTCATACAATGAATTAGTGACAGAATCAGAACTCAAGCTTTCTGACTTCCTTCCTAAAACTTGGTACCTAGGAAAAATGAGGACTGTTCCCTGGGTTTAGGGGGCCTGTAGTGCTCAGAACCAGAAACCATATTTCCATTTCTTAGAACTGGACTCAGTGCAGGCCTTCTGTGCTGGGCCCTGCTCTAGGCTGCCAACTCCCTTGGGCTTCTAGAAAGGGAGCCGAAGGAGACTGGGTCCCTTTTCTTTAAATCAAATTTTTGACTCCTCTTCAGCCCCCTACCACACTGCCCAATAGGCAGGCAGCAACAGGTTCAAAGAGCTGTCCTGAATGCAGTGCTGAAGATGTTCTCCCTCTCTCTGGTGCTCCTGGTTTCCTTCTCTCTCTCCCCTTCATCTTTCTTTCCTCACACCTCTCTCCCTCTTCTTCCCACCACCCACCTGTTTCCCTCTCTAGTCTTTACCACTCCAGCTTACATCTGCTCATCTCTCTCTCCAGCTACCTGTTATACTTCCCCTCTTCCTCTATTCGTCTTTGCCCCAGTGCCTCTCTGGTCCTGTCTATCCATCTTATATCTAACTCTGTTTCTTCCATTTCCTGTAACATGTCTCTCCCCTCTTCTGTCTCCTTCTCCCTCTCTCTCTCTCCCTCTCTCTCCTTTGTAATGTACTTTCATCTCTACTTCCATGAGAATTTGGAAGATTAGAAAAGATTCCTTTTCACCTCCCCACCCCACTCCCCTGATGTGACAGATAAGTTAAGTCATGACTCTCCAAGGACAAAGGGCTGGCCTCAATGAGCCCAGCTGAGGTCTGACTAACCAAAGTCTAACACCAGAATCCTGACTTCGTGATGTCTGTCTGGCCTCTTCCTTCCAACCCCCAACCTTTTCTCTTTGCTTACAGTCTCTCTGCATGGCTTCCTAGCTGTAATGTCTTCAGAAATACATCCGTTTTCCCCTCCATAACTGTTCCTGGCAGTGAGAGGGGAGCCCCTAGAAGGGCCTGGATACTTTCCAAGAATGATTGCATTAGCCCAGTCAGGCCCCCTATTAAACTCCATTCTCCAACCACTGAATGGGAAGACTTGAGGAGTAGGAGTAGGAAGTAGGGAGCTTGCTTTTGCCAGGGTATCATTAACCCAAAAGGAGCCTCTGGCCAAGTCCCTAGGGCTAAATGTTCAGAACATAGAGTTCTGAGTAAGACAAGAATACCAGTGATTCTCCTTTTTCCCCTCCCCAAGACAATCCACTACCCTGAGAAAAAGGATGAATACTGGAGATATTTCTGTTGGTGACAGCGCTTTGATAAACTTCATTGGCAGGAAGCTCTACTGAAGACAAGGGAGAAAATGGGTCAAATCTTCCTTCTCCCCTAGGTTATTGACATCTTTACCAGCATCCTCTACCCTTCATGGTGTACCTTTTGCATACTCACATGCATGCCCTGTTCTCTCTGGTCTAGGTCACAGAAGATGTCTCCGTCTTTATTCTTTCTTGTTTTGTTCTGTTTCGAGTCTAGCCAGATCTCAGGAAAGGGATGGCTGGTCAGGTTCTTCACAAGAGGGAACGTTAAGGGTGGGGAATGAGAGATGGGGGGAGGGGGACACCTGGGGCCAAGGGTTAAGGGTCCACTTTTTCCTTATCTCTACTGCTTTCAGTTTATATTTGTCTATCTTTTCAATAACGCTGTCCCCGTTCCCCTCTTTCCCTCTCCCTTCTCTCCTTCTCATCCCTACCTCATTTTTTCCTTTTTCATACTCCCTTCCCATCTCATTTCATCTCTTCTTCATCTCTTCTCATCACTCTCTCTTTCTTCCACCTCTTCTCTCTCCCCTCCCACCCCTTTCTCTCTCATTTCTCCATTTTTCATCTCTTCTAACTTTTCCTCTCCTCACTATCTGTCCTCACCTTTCCTTCTACCTGTCTTCTCATCTTCATTTCTCTTCCTGTCATTTCATCTCCATGTTTTTCCCTCTCCCCATCTCTCCTTCTTTTTCTCTCTGTCTCTTTCTACAGTCAAAAAAGCCAAGTTTGATGGTGCTCAAGGTAAGCGACCCCCCCCCCTTGTTTTTTTTTGTCGTGATAGAGTGGGATGGGAATGTGTATGAATGACCTCTCATTTAGAAGGGCAATGTTTAGGGATAGGAGGTGGGATGGGAGAAGAGAGGCAGCTTGTCTTTCCTCTAATCCTCCCCAAATTAGTGTCTTTGTAACAAACTAGTGTCTCATTGAAAGAAATACATCAAGTCTCTGTTGGGAAGCAGGGGGCTGGCTGGAGGAGAAGGTGTGTACTTCTTTTCCACAGAGGGTAGATCTAGGCCCAGTGGAAGAAAGTTGCAGGGAGATTGATTTTGGTTCGGTATGAGAGAAAACTTTGTAACAGAGACCTATCCAAAAGTGAAATGGTCTGCCTTGATTTGTAATGAATTTGCTGCCACTGGAGGTCTTTAAGTTGAGGCTGGTTGACTACTCTTCTGGCATCGTGTAGATTGGATTCTTACTCAGATTCGGGTAGAACCAGGTGCCCGACTCTGAGACTATGATTGATACTATGACTTGGGGGGTAGTCTCTCGGGCAATACAACAGACTCTGCTCCTATTAATTGAGCTGAGAGTGTTTACAGGTATGTGAGGGCATGGGCATGAAGGCTGCCTGTGTTCTTAATGCTTTCCACACACCCAAAGTCTGTTTGGGGTTGGTCTGGGGGTGGTTTAGAGAGGTCTTAATGTTGATAAGTTGGAGCCCCCAAGGGAGAGTCAGAGAGGCCCAGTGAGCCTAACCCCAACAACCTTTTCACTCTGCCTACTATTTCTTCTACCAGAAAAATTCAATACCTACGTGACCCTGAAGGTGCAGAATGTTAAGAGCACCACCATCGCGGTGCGGGGGAACCTGCCATGCTGGGAGCAGGATTTCATGTTGTGAGTATCTGTGGTACCCCCGGTAGCCACCTTTGCTTATCTCTTCAGGGCCTGCGTCTGTGAAGGGCTGCAGAAGCTGACTCAGAGCACCTGGCTGAATGATAATAATTACTCAAATATACATAGTACTTTACAGATAATTTTTCAGTTTACAAAGCTTTTCTCCATCCATCCTCTCATCTGGGCTTCAAATACCCCCTGAGAGATTAGTAAAGTGGGAATTCTTATCCCCATTTCACAGGTGGGCAAGCTGAGATTCACATAGGGGAAGTGACTTGCCCAAGGTCACCAAGGGACTCACTGGTACAGCTGTGACTCACACTTGGGTCCTCTGAATTTAGGTCCATTGCTCTTTTCACTGCACCACATTATTCAGCTACTTAGGCCTCTATTTTTCAGCCTGTAAAGAAAGCTGCCAAGTGAAAAGCTGGGCCAGCACTCACCAGACACAATCATGCAAGTTCCCCACCCCCCACCCACCCCACTCCCAGGCAGATAGCTCCTCAGAGATGCTAGGATTATTCTTGTCCCTACCTCCTACAGCCATCTGTCCTACCTTGTTGTTAAGGTACCAGATTTCTCCAGATCCCTGGCCTTGGTGTGGACAATTTTATTTCTTTCTTCACCTTACCTCATGAAAGATGAAAGTTGGTTGGGCCTTTTTTTCCACCACAAGGGCCCTTCTCTTGACTCACTTAGGTGCCTTTGATCAAATCACTTTCCTTAAGCCTTAGTTTTCTTACCTATTAACTGGAGGTGGAGTTGGACTAGATTGCCTGTAAGGCCCCTTCTAGTTCCCAACTCGCTTCTTTCTGGCTCCAAATCCAGCATTCTATCCATTGTATGCCCTGGTTGCCTCTGGGTCCATTATCCAGGATGGGGGAAAGAGGCAAAATAGTTGGAGGAGGAGAAGACTCCAAAGTACTTGCTCTGCCAGGCTCTCTAGTGCCCTGTTGGGTTATGGGGAGCTTGGGTTGGGGAGGGGAGAGTAGAAAGATAGTTGCCTAGCTCAGTGATCTCTAATGTCTCCTCCAGCTCCAGATAGTAATAAGCAAAGCTAACATTTACTTGGCACTTTAAGGTTTTCACATTTTTTACACACACACACACACACACACACACACACACACACACACAGTTAAGTGACTTGCCCAAACTGAGGTCTTCCTCACTCCAGGCCCAGCACTCTAGCCACTGTGCCACTAGCTGCCTATGGTAAGTGCTATCATGACCCCCATTTGACAGTTGGGGTAACTGAAGTTGATGGAGTATAAATGACCTGCCCAGGGACACACAACTGGTAAGTGTCTGAGCCTGGGTGTGAACTCAGGTCCACCTGACTCCAACCCTGGTACTTCATTCACTGTGTCTCCTAACTACCTTATATTCTCACTTCCGGCTATGGATCTAGGGATGACTGCTCTCCTCCTTTCCTTCTGCCTCTCCTGCTAGTGAAATTAATCGCCTGGACCTTGGCCTGACAGTGGAAGTTTGGAATAAAGGGCTCATCTGGGACACCATGGTAGGCACAGTATGGATCCCCCTCCGTACCATTCGCCAGTCTAATGAGGTGAGCACAAGGGATGGGAGATGGGCAGGAGCAAAGAGCCAGGCACTGTCTTTAGAACCTGAATAGATGTTCAAAAGGGTGGAAGGAGGCAGGGCAGTAGGAGGAGTGAATGGTCAAAGGTGATGCTGGCAGATTTGGGAGCAGGGCCAGGGCTCACCAACAAGGCTTCCTGAAGGAGGTATCTGGGAGCTATGGATAGTTCCTAGCTCATCTTTCTTATGGAATTCTCCCCTTTTCCCAAGGTAGACCAGGAAGGGAGTGGTGGTGTATTTTTTTGCTCTTTGTCTGATACATAGCACCTGTTCTGTTCTTTTTCCTGACCTCAACCCTAGTTGCATCACTCTGATCCAGAGCCCTAATGCTGCTGTGATCCCCCTTTAACCCCACCCACCCCAAAGAGATACAGTGGTTTTCTTAGAATAACATTGTATTTTGAATGTCTAGTAGTAAGGACTGGCTGAAATAGTGCACAGTGGAGGGGTACCAAGAGACTTAGAATGAACATTAGCTAAGGAAGGAGTGCAAGGGTACCAGCCACCTGGTACTCCTACCCTCCTCCAGGAACATTTTTCCTTGACACTGGTTTTAACCTTTTGATATTCTCTTCTCTCCCCTAACCTCCTTCTTCCTCCGACCCCTTCTGGTTTTGATGGGGGTTCCCTTTCTCAGGAGGGCCCCGGTGAATGGCTCACCCTGGACTCTCAAGTTATCATGACAGACAATGAGATCTGTGGTACAAAGGACCCCACCTTCCATCGAATTCTCCTAGACACCCGCTTTGAACTGCCTTTGGGTAAGTGCTTGAGGAAGAACTTTGAACCTACCAATCAAAAGAGAGTTCCCAGAGTTTTTCCCAAGCCCTACTCTGTTCCCTTTTCCTTCACTCTGAGACTTGCTAGAATCTGACTCATGTCTAGCATTTTATATCAAGAAAATATACTGCTATGTGGATACCCATGAACCAAAATCAGAAGGCATAATGGTGGGCATTTGGTTGAGGATCAATGGACAGAGAACAGACATAATATTATAATACCAGCATATTACAGGCTGCTTGGCCAGAGGGAAGAAATGGATGATGATTTCTAGAAGCAGATCGCAAGGAGGAGTTATGTAACTGTGATGAGTGACTTCCAACTATATGATCATCTGCTAAAGTTCTCTGTTAAAAGCTGGATAGCTGAAAACAGGCATGTGGAGCTGATTTTAACCAATAAGGAGCACCTGGAAGCCAAAGTAGACCTTAGGAGAATGTTAGAATTTGTGATAGATGAAGGAGGGCATTGTCTGGTATGTTTCCTATGTTTGAGAAGATGGAGTTTCGAATTTGGAGAAAGGATAGGTAGTATTGTAAGATTCTACAGGGGAAGTCAGCTCAAGAGCAATGAGATTTTTTTCAAGAAAGAAATTCTGATTACATAAAAATAAATTATTCTAATATGGAAGGAAAGAGCGAACTGCCTTGAGACCACTGTGACTACACTGAAAGTTCATCCTCCACTCCGATTTAAAGGACACCTGAAGAAGAAATAAAGAACAAGTGATAGAGAATGAGTACAAAGCATGTCGTGGTCCTTTAAGGACGGTGTTAGCCACACTAAATCCCAGAATGAACTAAGACTGGTGGTGAATGCTAATGATAATAACAAGGCCTTTCAAATAGATTCTAAGCTCAATATGGCTCAACGACACATTGAGGTGATCAAAACAGTTAACGTCTTTTGCTGTTGTGTCCGACTCTGCATGACCCCATCTGAGGTTTTCTTGGCAAAGATACTGGGGTGGTTTGTCATTTTCTTCTCCAGCTCATTTTGTAGATGAGGAAACTGAGGCAAACAGGGTTGAGTGATTTGCCCAGGGCCACACAACAAGTAAGTATCTGAGGTCAGATTTGAACTCAGGTTTTCCTGACTTCAGGCCAAGCACTCTGCCCACCACACCAACTAGCTGCCCAATGTTATCCTACTCTGCCATTAAAAAGGCATGGTATACAGAATGGAGGTGGTGAAGACACCCATTGTCTTCTGCTCTAATCACACCATATGTGGAGATTGTGTGCTATTCTGGGTATCATATTTTAGGAAGGTTATTGATGAGCTAGAATGTGTCCAGAAATGGGAGACCAAGATGAAAAAAGGAACTGGAAACCTCGAAATATGAGCATAACATGAAGGAACAGTGAATGTTTAGCTTGAAGGAAAGACCTGGAGGACATGATTATTGTCTTCAGCTATTTAAAGGACTGCCATGTGCCAGGTCTTGTTGGCCTTGACCCCAGAGGATAAAATGAGGAGCAAGGGTTGAAAGTCCATTCAAGCTCAGTGTAAGGGAAAAAAAAACTTCTTCCCAATTACAGCTGGCTAAAACGGGAATGGGATCCTTTTAGAGGTATTGAGTTTTCTGTTATTCAAGACTTTCAAGTAGAAGGTGAATAACTACTTCTCAAGAATATGACAGTAATGATTACCATTTAGGTATGGACTGGTCTGTATGACCTCTTTCTTTCTCACAGATGCTGAGATTTTGTAAGAATCTCTCTATCTTGGGAACATTCTGAGCCCATCTCCTGAAGCCAGACCCATCCCTTTGTCTCTTCACCTTGAGACAGAGCTAAGAAATTCTGAGCCTTGGTAGAGTTCTGCAAGTTGGCCTCTAGTTTCACCATCACTGATAGACAGCCTTGGCCTCTTTTCCTAAATATTCAGAACATCAAAGAAAGCATTCCTCCACTTGTCTCAGACTGGATTGTCCTACTTGCGGAAAGTCAACTTGTATTGTTAGGAAATAATGAGCTCCCCATCGAGGTACAGATATTCAAGAGAAGATTGGATAACCTCTTATCAGGGATGTTGTAGAGGGGATTCCTGCTTGGGTAAGAGTTGGTGTAGGTGCCCTGAGATTCTGTAATAAGTGTCTACTGTGTACAGAGCACTTTCCTAGCTAGTCATTTTTCTCAGGCAGTTGGAAATGATGGCTATGACCCTAACAATTCAGCTTAGTTACAGAGGAGGGGACCTGAGGACAACTCTACCACCCTTCTGTTGGAGGCACCTTGTACGATTGCTTTCCTCAATCCTACCTGTGCCTTCTATTCTCTCCAAAACAAGGCTGCCATTGTTAGCAGCTTCTCATTTCCAAGGTATTAGCCTTGGTTCCAGAGGAGTGCCAAGGAAGGACAGAAGAGCCATGGAATGAGAGGGGACTGATGACTGACCTGGAGATTGCCTTGACTGAGTGTTAGGGAAGGAGACTCCATTTATAGGGTACAAATTCTAAGAGATCTTTGATGGACCCATGGTTCTATTGATGCAGTTCGTCTCCCCATTGATGGTGATCACGAGAATCTCATCCTATATCATTCTTGTCCGTGTCCTTCCATCAATTCTCCATGCAGAAGCTACTCAACTTTCTAGAAGACTTTCCCCTAGCTCAGGGGTGTTTAACCTAGGGGCCATGGCCTTGGATTTTATTTTTAAATTGGCAATTATACTTCAATTGGTTTCTTTTGTAATCCTGTGTATTTTATTTCGTGCATTTAAAAACATGATCCCGAGAAGGGGTCTGCTCTGCAGTCTGCAAAGTACACATATACTTTGCAACTTTCCATTGCCTTTGGCATCACAGGCATTTTGGAGATCTTGATACTTTATGATTTGAAGCCATATAGCATTGTGAGGAGACTGTTGATGTTTAAAAGGATGGACTTTTTCAGCCTGGGATCACTGAAAACAATGAACAGCTTCACAAATGCTATCCAGTCTGCCCTGATCTTCTGTCCAATTTATTGTCCATCTGCCATGCCTATCCCAGGTATATGCGTCGATGGACTAAATGAATGGGCTGCCCATCCTACTGTTTCTCATCATCTGGGTAACGTACATCCTTTATCCACTTAGCTTTTCATGTGCAGGCAGGCTGGTCTGGTCTCTTCTGATGGCCCATGGCAATCACTTCAGGCGAAGCTTTACTATGCAGAGCTTGATGCTACTAGCCCAATGTAAAAGTAGGAATACCTGGAAATCCTTGCAATCAATTCAGAATCCTTCTTCCATTTAACCTACATCATCCTTGGTGACATCAGCAAGCACATTTGTCAAGTATATGTCTCTCTGTTTTATGCCTAACTTGCTTAACAATTTAATTCCATGGCAGCATGGAATAATGGAAAGAATTCTGTATCAGCAGCCAGGAGACCTGGATTTAAATCCTATCTTAGACACTTACTTTCTGTTTGCCCACAGCAAGACAATTTCTCAGAGCTACAGCTCCCTCATCTATAAAATAGGGATGATGATTCTTTCAAAACCTGACAGGCTTGTTGTAAAAAAAGGCACTTTGAAAACCTTATAGTGCTATATAAATGAGTTATTATAATTCAACAAACCCTTATTAAGGACCTACTGATATTCAGAGAATTATTGAACAAAGTTATCTCTGCGATTGCATCTGTTGTGGAATCTTGTATAATAACCCATGCATGGGAAATACTTTGTTGAGGAGAACCTTTAAGGGTACATTTTGTTCTACTCAGTCAAATGCTTTTATTTATTTTTGGGGAGGGGGATAATCAATGAACAGTAAACACAAAGGGATTTTGCATTTTCTACACCTTTCATTGGTCAGTTAGGTGGTGTAGTGGAGAAAGTGCTGGGCCTGGAGTCAGAAACACTCCTCTTCCTGAGTTCCATCCTCAGACACTTATTAGCTATGTGACACTTGGCAAGTCACTTAACTTTGTTTGCCTCAGTTTTCTCATCTATCAAGTGAGCTGATGAAGGAAATGGCAAACCACTCCAGGATCTTTGCCAAGAAAACCCTAAATGGGATCACGAAGAGTTGGACACAACTGAGCAACAGCAAAAGTACCTTTCATTGTGTGGCTATGAAGATGTGGTATGATATGGAATTTTGATTGTAAAAATCCGTTATTCCTGTCTTATATTTTCATCCAGGATACCCTCAACACCTGTCTAGACCATTCTTACAAAGTTTTTATGTAGATGGGGAAGAAAGTATTGACTTACAGTTGCTGATATCTTTTCACTCAACTTCTCTTTAGTAATAATGCTGTCCATGAGGGTTTTTTTTATTCTTTTGGAAATTCCTCACCTTTGCAATATCCTCAAAACCGATTCTTTCATGTCTTTAAAAATTTCGCCTCCATATGGACTTCTTGTGCATTTGGGTAGGTAAAGCTGTTCTCACTTCTTTGAGTGCCAATTCCACTTCCACATTGAGTACTGATGTGGTAGAGTCTATATATGGTGATTCTACTGTTATTTATGATGAAAATAAATTACATGGAAATGCTGGCAAGTGCTATATTTCATATCTATTGTTGAGTTTCCCATTTCAGCTATAAATATTGTCAAGATTATGGGGCTTTGTTGGATCCTACACCAATTATTTGGAGCCTTGTTTTCCTATTCACTACTTTTCACTCTTCTGTAAGGCAATACTGTGAAAAATCTTCCATCCTCCTTTTCTGTGATGTTTTGCAAATGAGCAAGTGTTGTACTCTAAAGTGGTGTGGCCTTTGTTTTTTATACCTCTCTGGTTGGCAGAGATCGACATTTGCTAGCTGAATTGCTTTCTGGGCTCTTTTAGCCTCCTAGTTGTGGTGACTGTTTTATATTTGTTAAACTTTTCTAAGAAATAACAATAATTAGACCCAATATCTTTATTTTTTCATTTTTGGAAGATTATAAGAATACAGGATTGCAGATATCTATTTTTGGAAGAGGACTTAGAGACAATAGTTTATCTTAATAGGTGACTTGGAATGGTTATAATTGCTGCAACTATCTTTGTGATGGCCTCCTTGCCTATGCTCATCATAAGCATTGCAACTTGAGGTGACCAAGTATACCATGAAAGGATCTTTCTTATCCTTGGGTGAATTATGAAACCAACTCCACTAGTTACTTTATTTACCTCTCTGAGGGGAACTTGAGAGCCCGACTTCCATTTAGCTGCAATTTCTTGATGTCTTCTGATTTCATATAAAGAATGTAAATGTGGATGAGGTTCAGTTCCTCCAGGACTGGGTCAACTCACTGGTCATCAGATGAAGAAGAACTTACATTTAGAGTATTGTTGTTTAAACTGATGTTTTGTAGACAACCTAAAAATGGTAAGGTTCTCTTACCTTCTTTTCATCCTCTACATTCTTTTTGACCACTCTACTCCAGTCACTGTAGAATGAGAACCAAAGGCCATTTTATATTTTTATCTGTTCCAATGTATTGCCATGGCCAAAGAATTCATCATGTAATAACCAACGTACTGGTAATGTGAGTCTCTGAACTAATTTGAACCAATCCTAGGATTGGATAGCCTGTTGCTGGGACCATACCAAAAGTCTTTCCAGTTTAGTAGGATCTGCCAGAGCTTACACTTACACTGGCAAAATCCTCCAGTCCTGGTTCACCTCCATGCCATAATGAGCAAGCAGATGAAGCCTTTTGTAGAGAGGATCTACTTTGGAGGTGGGAAAAGCAGAAGTGGGGGAGCAGAGAGAGGAGAAGAAGAAGAAGAAGAAGAAGAAGAAGAAGAAGAAGAAGAAGAAGAAGAAGAGGAAGAAGAAGAAGAAGAAGAAGAAGAAGAAGAAGAAGAAGAGGAAGAAGAAGAAGAAGAAGAAGAAGAAGAAGAGGAAGAAGAGAAGAAGAGTGGAGAAGACAGAAGAGAAGAGAGAAGACCCAAGCCTTTCCTGCTCACTCCTTCCAGGATCTGAATTTGCTGCCATGCTGCTGCCTAATTAATGCCAATGATGAGCTGCTCCTAATGATGAATTACCTCTTTCCTTGGCCATCCATCACTAAGAGTACCTATAGGTGAAGTAGCCTTCTTCTCTCTCACATTTTCCTTTTCTCCCTCCCCTCCCTCTTCTCTTAGTTTCCCCCCATCTTTCTCCCTTCTCTTCTTGCATCCCTCCCCACCAACCATTGTTTTGGGACAACCAGTTTTTCTCTCCCATACTTCAATCCATGTCCCAGGGAGGCAAAGCCAGTGGGAGGTTCAGGGACACAGGACTTCCTGATGGGCTGACAGATGTGGATTTGGTTTTCAGACATCCCTGAGGAAGAGGCTCGGTATTGGGCAAAGAAGCTGGAGCAGTTGAATGCTATGAGGGACCAAGATGATGTGAGTAGACATGGGCATAGTGCCCAGATTCTGTTTGCCTCAATACATGGCTATCTCTGGGGACTGTGTGAGCAGTTCACTGAGTCTACTGGGTGTCCAGATTCTTTCTCTTAGTGGAGGAAAGTGGGGTAGGATAGACTTGTGGTTGGATAGACGACAGGATATCTGAGTTCACATTTCTGACTTAGGGCAGCCTAGTGTCCTCTGCCCTCCCCTGAACTTTCTTTTCCCATTCACTCTTCTCCCTTCAGTATTCATTCCAAGAAGAACAGGACAAGCCTCTTCCGGTCCCCAGCTCCCAGTGTTGTAAGTACTGCTGTCTTCCTTTCATGGCCCTAAACAGTGGGGTCCATCCCTGGGGCAGAGGGCACTAATGGGCATAGCACATTCTCCCACTACCTTACTGCCTGCCCTCCTGCCTGGGTCTGGTACCACCTGGGATTTGGGTTTTGGGTGTCTTCTGAGATATAGTTCTTGGCTTTGATCCCTCCTGGCATCCCCTAAGGTGCTATGTCTTCACATTCCAAGGAGCTAGGCTTACTCAGGTCTGATTGCCCTTGCAGATCCTAGGGGACCCACTTCTCTGAGGTAAAAAGAAAATAATGAAACAACCCAGTGGACCTCTAATGACTTCTGTCTTTGAACTCCCAGTTCAACTTACCTTATCTGGAATTTATACACCATCAGATTCCAATTCTCTGTTTTGGGGGAGTATTTCACCAGTAGAGTTATCCCTCATTTCTAGCAACCCCTGACCTCTTCCAGAGCCCTGGCCCTGCCATTCCCCAAGGCCCCTCTCTCTTTGGCTCCTCCTCCCTTCTGTCCTTCTCCTATCCTCCTCCTTACCTTCATATATCTCCCTGTCATCCATTATCCCTACCACCCCACCCCGACTTCTACATGTGGGGGGATGGATTGAGGGAAAGAGTTGGAAGGGGGAATGGCCAGTTACTCAGAATCTAGAAGAACAATCTAGTGGAAAGATGTAGGGCAAGGAGCATGGATACCTGGGTTCCAGAAGTATCCAGTAAACCATAGTGCACTGTAATAATACGGGAACAGTTTTATTTTTATTAGACCTGCCACTAACTCACTGTGTATCCTCGGGCAAGACACTCAACCTCTCTGTGCCTTAGCTGCCTCATCTGTCAAATGAACAGAATAATCTCTGCTAACTTCCCAAGTTATGCTGGGAATCAAATGAAATAATAACTTTAAAATTCTTTGGGGAATTGAAAGCACTCTCCAGACATGAGGGATTTTTTTTTTTGCATGGGGACCTGCTCCAGTTCCCAAAAAGAGAAAGAGCAGGGAAATTGGGGAAATTGGAATAAAGAATGTTGGGAGCATGAGAGGAAAGCCTGTTCACCCCTTTGGCAGGTGGAATTAGGTTGGGGATTGGGTGAGATTTGGAATGCCAAAAAGGCATGGAAGAGATCTAAGTCAGGTAAATACCTTTGTTTTCCTCTTCCTCCTTAGCTGCTTACTTGGTCAAATGCTCAGATAGACACTTAGCAACAAAGAGACCCATAGGAAGTAAGAAAGTTCACTAAGAGAACAGCTCCACAGCTCCCACTGTCAGATTCAGTTGCATTTGGACCCCTCTTGTCCCAGTAAGGAAAAAATCGGGGTGAACTTACTGGGGCTAATGCTTGCAAACAGCTGGCTGGCTGGGCAAGGAATCGGATGGATTGAGAATAGACCTATTTCCCTAACAACCAAGATCTCAGCCCAGCTTTGGATGCCAGGTTGAACCACTGAGTGAGGGAGGGACATCCATGCCCTACCCAGCCAAGGCTGTCCCATCCGAGTACACAGCAGTCCAGGGCCAGTGGGCGAGAAGAAGAATAGCACCTGGATCAGGAAAGCTTCTGACAAGTGAAAGCTCAGGCAATAAGGCTCTTCCCTGAAAACCCAGGGCCACAGCCAAATTAGAGTCTGAGGATTCTCTGTCCAAGCCCTGGGATGAATCCAAATGCCCGCGAGAGTGGGCAGCCAAGGGAGTTAAATTGGCAGTGGGTGTTCTGACCTCATGCTTGGCAACAAGGGTAGCATCACTAACTTCTGGGAGCCAGGGCAGTTTTTCTCATTGATGGGATGATGAAATCAGGCTCAGAGTTAGCCCGTAGGAGAGGCCACATGTCATAGGGGAAGGAGTGCTATATCTCAGGTGGAGGAACTTGGTTCAGATTTGACTCTGCTAATTATTAGCTATATGACTTATAGCAAATTCCTTAACTTCTCTTTGCCTCAGTTTCCTCACCTGTAAATGGAGGGGGCTCTACCACATGAAGTCTAAAGTCCCTTCCTGTTGTAAATTGAGATGTCATCATGGCTAGAGGGCTAGGCTTGGAGTCAAGCAAGACCTGAGTGTGACCCCTGCCTCAGACACTTAACTACCTGTGTGAAATGGGCAAGTCACCTAACATCCCTCTGCCTATGCATCTATTCAATGAGGGGGTTGGACCTGACCTCTAAGGTCCTTTCCAGCTCTAAATCTATGATCCCATGACCCCCTCACCTAGTGTCCCAGTATTGGGGACTTTTTGGGATATCTATGCCATATGATGTACCCAAAGGCCAAGAATCCAGTCCTGGCTCAACCATTACCATGCCATGTGACCTTGAGTGAATCACTTCTCTTTCCTGTGCCTTATTTTTCCCCATCTCTAGAATGGACATAATCCCTGCCAGGCCTCCTTTACAAGGTAGCCATGAGGATCAAATGAAATAATGCATGTAAATTGTCAAGTGTGAATTGTGAAGTGATAGCTAGGTATCCCAGTGGATAGGGTGCTGGACTTGGTAGCAGGAAGCTCTGAGTTCAAGCCCTGCCTCAGACTCTTAATTAGCTATGTGACCTTGAGCAAGTCACTTCACCTCTGTCTGCCTCAGTTTCCTCATCTGCAAAATGAGATGACTGGACTCGTTGGCCTCTAGGGTCTCTTCTAGTTCTAACTCTATGATCCTAGGACCTATAAAGTGTCACTCTTAGCATTTGAATGCCCTCCACCCAAGGGATGCAGGCAGACAGGCCACTTCCTCCTTTAAGATGCAGGCTCCTCTCCCCACCCTCCTCCCTCCCAAAAAAAGGAGGAGGAGACCTATTTCAATGAGGAGCACAATACTTGGGCCACTATGAGCAGATACCCAGGCGCTTTTAGGTAACCGAGAACCTCCAATGCTGTATCCTTCATGGATACGCATGTTTCATAGCCTGAGTGCTATACTGTGAGCCCTGAGGCAGCATGGCATGTCCCATGGACCTGAAGTCAGGAAGATCAGGGTTCAAAGCCTGTCAATGAACATGGACAAGTTACTTAACTTCTCCCAGATTCAGTTTCCTCATCTGTAAAATGGGGATAAAAATAGCACCTATCTCATAAGGTTATTGGAAGGCTCAAATGAATTAATGTATGCAAACCTTAAAGAGCTATGTAAATACAATCTATTATTATTATTATTATTATTATTATTATTATTGATCCCATCAACATTCCCTTGCCCACACCAAAAAAAAAAAAAAAATTGGTGGGGGAGGGGTCAAGAGGAGGATTCTCTCCAGAGAAATCAATCCAAGGAAATCCCCACCCACTGTATAAGACCCCCACTTCTTACCTTATCAGCTCTTTACCTATGAAGCTAGATGAATAAGTGAAAAAAACCCCACTTATTAAGCATTTACTATGTACCTAGCACTGGGAATCCAAATAGTTCCTGCTGTGCTTTGAGGGGTCCTTCCTTATGAGCAGTGTTCCCTCTCCCCCTAACCTAGTCTACGACTTTGGTCACACCTACTTCTTTAGCACGACCTTCATAAGATGAGGTATGCCTCCAACTTTTCTCTGATTCCTCCCTCACCTCTTCCCCCCACCTCCAGCTCTTCCCCAACTTTCCTCTCCCCCCTCCTTCCCTCTCAGTCCCATTCTTTTCCAGTGTGGGGGAGGGGAGCTGGACTTTGGACTGTAAAATTCCAAACTGCTTTGGGTCGAGGGACAGGGGGCAGCGATGGAGAGAGGGTGGTGGACTGGGAACAATGGGGGAGGAAGAGAGCAGGTGTCCAGAGGGTGCTCACAGTTCAGCCCCTGCTCCCTGTCCTGTGCCCTCTTCCATGCCCACTGCCTCAAGTCCTGCCCATATTTATTCTCTCTGCCCCTTTTCTTTGTAGGCAACTGGAGTTATTTTGGCTGGGGGGAGCAGCAGAGTAAGTACTCAGCCGGCGATTTGTCCAGTGTGAGGGGGTGGAATGGGGGCATATGGCTCCCCTGATGATGTTCCCCCTCCCTTCCCCACCCTACCCCTGGAGAGAACTATGAGGAACCTGGGGACAGTCAGTCTGGCACATCCCTGCCTTTCCCCTGTCCCTTTGCCCCCTCATTCTCCAGTGTCTGGTTGGCCTCCCCTGGTGGAGGCAGGAGAGGTGTCCTCATGTTACCTGATGAGCAGAGGAAGAATATGGAAATTTGGGGCTAATCTTGGAGCCCCTGCAAGTCTTCAGTCTGATAATGAGGGTTACAATTTGGGATCGGATAGGACTAGATGCCCACAAACACCGCCTTAGGGACCTTCAGGACCTCCACCTCTGCCCAAATCTCTCTCCCTACCCTCTGCCCCCATGTCCAATCCCATATCTCTTCCCTTACCTGTCACCTACTCCCTTGTTGATTTTCTCCTCCCCCTCCCTTCTCTTCCCCTTCCTCTCATGGGGGAGAGGGATGAGTGTAACTCTGGACGAGTCTTCTCTCTGGGCCTCAGTTTCCCTATCTGTAAAATGAAAAAGTTGAACTAGAATAATATTCTAGTCAAACTAGATCATCTAGTCACTAGATGATCCTTAAGTTCTTTCCTAGCTCTACCATTATACTATTTTGTGAAAAGGGTCCAGATGTGAAGCTAAAGATGGTGGCAGGGCTGTGGGGGTGGTTATCAGAGATCCTCAGTTACCTCTCAGTTCTGGAGGGATGGATGGGGATCTAGGTGGACATTATTCCAGTGGTCCCATGCCCTGAACTTCTATTATGTCCACAGACTTCTGCCCACTCTGTACCCTCAACCCCCTCACCCCAACAATTCCCTATATCTTCTCCTGCTTCCAGCAAAACGTTCCAGCCAATGGGTCAGTGTTGCTATGCCTCTGAAAGAGTATCACCAAGGGGTGATAGGTGAGCCCAGGGCTGAGGAGGCAACCTTGACATTGTACCATGGATTGGGCCTGGCCACCCCAGAAAGCACTTGTAGCCTCAGTACCATTGGGGATAGCTGGTTCTAGAAAAGAGTAAGGCAGATGGAGCTGCCATGCCACTTGTGTCATCTCAAGTCCCACTTGGAGCCTGGTAAACCAGTCCTCCTTACTTCCTTATCCAAGCCTACTTAAGCCCTGGGTATATTTCTGTTGACCACAGGTCTGCAGGTACTTCTGCCTCCCATATGGTGCCCTGATATCCTGTGTCCTATCTCCTCCCTTCTTCCTCTCTCCAGCTTGGGCCATCCATTTTCTATGGACTGTGTTCCAAACCTCTACACTTCCCATTGGCCATCATGGATCTCTCTATCACCTCTCTTTTTTTCCTTTCCCTTTGCCCTTTGTTTTACTCAAAGCCCATCCTGCTCCATTCCTCAAGCATCACAATGGCCCAGCTGAGCGTCTCTTCCTCCCACCAACCATCCTTTCACAGTCTCTCCCATAGAGGGACATCCCATGTTAAAGACAACTCCTTTGACTTGCATGAGATACTTAACCTTACTCTGTGTAGGGACAGGGGGAAGAAAGCAGCTGTGGCATTGGGGACACCCTAGGTCTTGGGGGGAGTGCCCCTAAATTCACAATCACTTTTTGGATCAAAGGCATTTTGGTGCCACCCATGGTCCCTGGAGGGGAGGAGGTTGGGTTGTCTGTTGGGGACAACCCTCCATCCCACCTCCCAGCCCTTCATCCTTTTCCTTTCTGCATTCCTCCCTCCCCAATGGGGGCTTTTTCCAGATGAAGACCCAGACAGTGCCGTGGATGACCGGGACAGCGATTACCGCAGCGAGACCAGTAACAGTATCCCACCGCCCTACTACACCACATCCCAGCCAAATGCCTCTGTCCACCAGTATTCGGTCCGACCTCCTCCACTGGGCTCCCGAGATTCCCGGGATTCTTACAGTGATTCGATGAGGAGCTATGAAGACTATTCAGAAGCACCTCCGGTCAGGTACTGGGGTGGGGAGTTGAAGAGGAGAAGGGGAGGCATGAGGAAGGACAGGCAGGAATGGAAGGAAAGAGATTGTCCAGTCCAGCTCCTCTTTTATAGATGAAGGAACTCAGACTCAGCAAGGGGCAATGAACTTCCTTAAGATCACCCAGTTAGTATTGGAAGTAAACCCCAGCTCTGACTTGCAGGCCAGCATTCTCTATGAGACGAGTCTGCCTCCTGGTATATTGTTGAATGGAAGAGTAAGGTGCAAGGAAGGGGAGAAAGAGGAGGTGGATGGAGCTTGGGGTCTAAAGAGGAAATGAGGGGCAACAAGGTGGCACAATGGATAGAGCACCGACCCTGGAGTCAGGAGGTCCTGAGTTCAAATCTGGCCTCAGACACATAACACTCACTAGCCGTGTGACCCTGGGCAAGTCACTTAACCTTAATTGCCTCACCAAAAAAACAAACAAACAAAAAATAAAGAGGAAATGGACCCTGCTTCTGGGCACAGGGTAAGGTCTAAGAGTCTTGATTTTCCGGGAAACTCTAGTCCAGAGGTTCCTAACCTTTTTTTTTTTCATCAAGGATCCCTTTGACAGTCTGATGAAGCCTATGGATTTAAAATGCATTAAATAAAATACAGAGGATTACAAAAAATTATTGGAAAGTAATTATGACAAAAACAAGTTCATGACCCCTAGGTTAAGGACCACTGTCTACTCTAGCAAGAGGGAATTGCCTTACCTACAGGTGCAGGATCACTGCAAAGATCATACTGCTTTGCACAGAGTTGGTGTTTAATCCAAAACAGGTTGGATTTTCAAAACTGAATTAAGTTGTCATCAGGACCAGGCAAGTTAAAGGGGCTGCTCTTGGTTGGCCCAGAGATGATACTGAAACATGGGCAAATAACCCAAATGTGTGGGGCCCTGAAAATGGGTTGGTGTCTTGGGACATTCATGAGCCCATTGTAGGCAAGGGGGCAGAACTTAGCCCTCCTGCCACATGGCACCGGGCCGAGCTGATCCCAGGATGATTCCCCCCATCGACATTTGCCCTCCCCTCCCCTCCCCCTGGGGAGCCTTAGCTAAATACCCCTCCCATACCTGCTGACCATGTTCCTCCTCCCCTTTCCCCACTCGCTGGCAGACGCTTCAGTAGCGTCGATTCAACCACTCGGGGCCACGGCGACTCGGAGGCTGGCCGTGGCTGGCCAACCCACCACCATTATTCCCTTGAGAACAGGCCATCCCTAGACCTGTCAGATAGGTGGGTCCTTTCCCTGTTGTGAGCCTCATGCCCCGTCCGGTGCTGTGGTCTGCTCCTCGTGGGCTGGGGCAGGCCGATACCGCTGGCCAATCACCCCTAGTCCGTATAACTCCCTCTTGGGTGAGTCGGAGGGAGCATTTTCCAGATAGCAGCAGAATGAATGGCATTTTAAGTGGATCTTTCTCCCTTGGCCCCTTCCCAAGGAGGCCCTCTCTCCTGTCTTCATGGGGAGCCCCCCCAGTCCCTATCATCCTTTTTCAGGAAAGAATGTCTCATAAAGTTGTAGCTCCCCTAGTGGGAAAGGAGGTCATCTGGTCCAGCCCCAAACCTTAAGGAAGGCGAGGTATTATTGAACCCACTTTACAGATGAGGCAGCAGAGACCCAGAGAGTTTAAGTTGTTTGGACAAAGTCACATACCTGATGGGTAGTGGTGACTGTGGTAGGGTAGAAGAGGGAAGTTAGCACCTCATTCGTAGTGTAGCACGGCCTTCTTACCACTTATCTGTATCGATGATGATGCTACTAATCTATATCGAGGCCACCTCCCATGTTGTCTCCCATTGGAGCCACACAGCTCTAGGAAGGGGAGCAGATTACAGGTTATTATCCTTTTGCAGAGGGAGGAAACCCAGGCTCAGAGACTAGAAATATCTTACTTAGTCAAGGTTATACCTTCATTCAGTTATAGACTTAGGACCAGAGCTCAGGTTTTTCAGCTCCTGGCCCAGAACCTCAGTAACCACAGGGGCAGAATGTCTGAGTGAGAAATGGCTCTGGGGGGCTTTCTGAGCCAGTCAGATGTATCCATGGATGTGGTATCGGCCTCCCCCACACTGCCCCGTCCTTGTCTGCATGGTGCGCTTTTCTGTCTCTGTGAGGGCCCCTTCTTCTTGTCCTTTGGGTTTGTCCACCTGTTTCTGTTTGGGATTTGTTTGCTGTGAGGGTAAGGGAGGAAGAAGGGAGGATGAGGGGAGGGACTCAAGATGGGTAGAAGGAAGAGAGATATTGGATATGGTCTTAATCTAAGATGGTATAATAAACAGTTGGCCACTGATCTGTGGGACCTCCAGGGAAAGGAGATGGAGGGGGCAAGGGAATTCTGGGGAACAAAGACATAGAAATAAATTTGGGGGCAAAATGGCAGATGAGGGTTAGTGAAGGTTAGCACCATACCCACCTAGACTCCAGAGGGAGTCAGCACTGTCCACTTTAATTCTTTCCACATACTTAGCCAGATTTTTAGAGAAAGTGTTCTTTTCCTTTGGAATAGTGAGTCCTTAGTCATCTGGCTGAAGAATGAGGCCTAGGGACAGATGCCAGTAGCTCCTTGTGTCCTGGATTTGAACTCCCTGGCTGTAGGGTTGGCATCCAGGACATTTCTGCTCTGATGAGAGAGAAGGAAGTGGAATGGGGATAACTATAGAGCTATCACCTTACATTATTTATATTGGGCTTTTATACTTCCCTGAGGAAAAGGGCACTTTTCCACATAGTTTCTCATTCATTCTTCACCAAAGCCCTGTAGGGTACATAGATCAGGGATTATTCTTCTAAGGATACGGATTCAGAGAGGGGAAGCCTTACTCTATGTCCCACAGTTGGCCAATAGCAGAGGTGGGGTTTTAATAAAAGGCTCTAGGCTCCCAGGCCTGACACTTTTCCACCATCTGCTAGTGTTCCAACTTTTTCTGACTTTGGGTTAGATGAGTACTCACCCTTAGGATGAATAACCCATCCCACTGAAGGCCATTCTGGTGCTCAAGACTGGAAGGAAAGGGCATAGGGACTTCTAAATTGGAGACAACTGTACTTTTAACATCCATCTATATCTCCTCTCTCCCCACTTCCAACCCTGCCACTCATATAGCCCAACCGGTAGCAGCCGCTATGCCTCCTCAGGGGAACTGAGCCAGGGCAGCTCCCAGCTGAGTGAGGACTTTGATCCAGATGACCAGAGCTTGCAGGGCTCCGAAATAGAGGAAGAGAGGGACCGAGACTCTTACCACTCCTGCCACAGCTCGGTGAGCTACCATAAAGACTCCCCTCATTGGGATCAGAATGAAGAGGAGGAGGGAGAGGAAGAGGAAGACCTGGAGGATGAAGAGCTGAGGCAGGGAGACTACAGTGAGAATGAGGAAGAATACTGCGAGGAGGATAGCTACCTACCAGCTGCACCCGCCTCCTCGGAAAGGGAGGGAAAGGCCTCTCCGGTGTCCGCCGGAGGCCCTGAGGTGACCAAGATGCCTCCAGAGCCAGCAGGAGCTGAGGAGGTGCCAGGGGGCGAGCGGGCACCTGAGCCAGAACCTCCAAAGCTGGAAGAGAGGTAAAGGAAGCATGATGCAGAGGCAGCCATGGGAGGGCAGGGGATGAGGAATGAGAGACAAGCAGGCTCAGAGTCTAGTCCTGGGCTTTAGGCCACACAGAGTACCGGGTGCCATAGCTATAGATCCAGAAAACTACCAGAGAGGCCCAAGATGCCTGGGTTCTCTACTCATAGCCTGTCTCTCTCCAAATGAGAGCATGAGGCCTGGCCCCCATCTCACTAGGGAAGCCCAAGCCACTCCTCAAACAGACAGTGATATTGATGCATGGGAATCACTAGCGATCCAGACACTGGGGACCCAGGGGGGGACCTAAATGCTGGCCCTGGGGTGGGGCCGGTCTCAGTTACAGGGCTCGGGAAGATGAAGAGGGGCAGGACTCCATGTCCAGAGCCAAGGCCAACTGGCTGCGAGTATTCAACAAGGTCCGAATGCAGCTCCAGGAGGTGAGTATGCCCTGTGAGGGGACCTCCCTCGCTAGATGGAGACCAGGAGCATCCGTGTCACAAGCCAGGAGTGGATCTAGATTGGCTTGGGAAGTTTCCAGGTTTGTAGGACTAGACGTGGGGATTTGAGAATTACGGTTAGGGTAGAGGTTAGGATTAACATCAGGGTTAGGTTTGGGGTCAGGATTGAGGTCATGTGAAGTCAAGGTTGGCCTTGCAATCCAAGTTATGCTCAAGGTTAAGGTTTAAATTAGGCTTGGTCTTAGGGTTAGTGCCAAGCATTGGGTTAGGTTTATGATCAGGGTTGGGGTTATTGGGCAGCTAGGTGGTGCAGTGGATAGAGTGCCAGGCCTACAGTTAGGAAGACTCATCTTCCTGAGTTCAAATTTGGCTTCAGACATTTTCTAGCTAGGTGACCCTGGTCAAGTCACTTAACCCAGTTTGTCTTAGTTTCCTTTTCTGTAAAATGAGCTGGAGATGGAAATGGCAAACCACTCCAGTATCTCTGCCAAGAAAACCCTAAATGGGGTCATGAAGAGTTGGACACAATTGAAACAAGTGAACAACATGGGGGTTAGCATTGAGGTCAGAGTTAGAATTTGGATGAGGATCAGGGTTAGATCTGGGATTAGAATAGAATTCATGATCAGGGCCAAGGTTGAGTTGAGTGTTTTACATTTAGAGTCAGTATTGCATCTAAGGTGAAGGTCTTCATCACGATCAGGATTAAGGTGAAGATCATCTGTCAGATAATGGTAGCCATGGTAGGTCAGGGGAAGAGGAACAAGAGACAAGTAGGCTCAGAGTCTAGTCCTGGGCTCTAGGCCACACAGAGTACCAGGTGCCATAGCTATAGACCCAGAAAACTACCAGGGAGGCCCAAGATGCCTGGGTTGTCTACTCATTGCCTGTCTCTCTCTAAATGGGAGCATGAGGTCTGACCCCCATCTCACTAGGGAGTTAAGAACTGTGGGTGGGCAAATTTAGCATGGGAGTCAGGAGTAGATTGGCAGGCAGGACTGGGTTCTGGGATGGGAGCCAGAGGGGAGGAAGGAGCTGGGCTGGGTAGCTGAGAGAGTCTCAGTTGGGCTGCATTTAATCAAAGCTCAGCTGGGCAGGAGTGGGGATTGTGCCTCTGTTTGCCCCCTTGCTCCCTCCATTGTCTCCACTGAATCTCCTGTCCTCCCATTGCCTGACTCTGGCCACCCTCCCTCACCTCCATCCGCCATCATTTCTTTTTTTGTTTGCCTTTGGCTGCCCTTCGGGTCCTCTCATGCTTTTCAGTTGTTCATCACCATCACTGCCCTCGTGCCCTGTGAGCACCATTGGCACAGGTAGGTGTGTCCCCTGCCTCAGGGTCCCTGATGGACACCAGAGCAGGAGGGGGAAGAAGGCACAGTCTAGGAGATGGGCAGGGATCCCAAGAAGGCAGTTGGTCTCTCTCCTCTGCCCTCTTCTCGTGCCCTTAGCATCTCTTTTGTGCCTGGCATAGCTTGCTAGGCTCCAGAATGAGATGTTTTGGTTTCAACTCAGGGATGCAGAGGAGACAAATTAATGTTTTGTCAAGATACATCAAACACTGAGATCCTTGCACTCTCATCTAGGCAATGGGTGGGGAAACCTGCTCCAATTAAAACCTCTAAAATAACAACCATCTTTCATCATTTCTATGGCATTTCCTCAAGGCAGACTACTGTGAAAGTATCATCCCCATTTGACTGTTGACTTCACTGTGATTTAGAATGGACAAGTGAGTGACTTGTCACATTGAGAGATAATGACTGAGTTGGGACAGAAGTTGTCCTATTTATAATCTGCTTTGTCTCCCGAGGGTCTCAGGAATAGGATGGACCTGGGGTTGGTTCATACCCTCCTGTCCCATTGCCAGTGGACACCCCTTCCCCACTCATTAACACATTAACATGAACCTTAACCCTCTGCCCCACCCCAGGGATACTTGATCTCAAGAGACTAAAACACTGAGGTCAGACTGGATAGATGAAAGCTAAGAGATTGGATTGATGGCCAAGAAGCCCTGAGGTGGAGGGATCAGGGCAGCAGGGCTATTCCTCTCAAATCTCAGGCTACCGACCTATAAGAGGGAGGCTGAGCTCCAGGGTTTGGGAGGGACCATGGGGCCTTTGCTCCCCTAAGGAGGCCCGGGCTGGAAGAAGAGCCAGGATCCTGAAGGTTCAGAGAAATCCCCCCAGGGTGTCCATCTGTGAGTTGGAGGGGGGTGGAAGGGATGGTGACTGACCTTTGGATAGAATGTCACAGAGTTGTGACTATCCCTCAGGCCCGAGGAGAAGGAGAGATGTCTAACTCACTCTGGTTCAAAGGCGGGTAAGTAGCTAAACACAGCCCCCTCAAGCCCAAATTGCTCCCTCCCCCTTCCCTTGGCACTGCCTGGAATGAGTTTCCTACTCCGGGAGGGCAGATCTAGAACTCAGGGCTGGAGACACATTTGGGTGTTTAGAGATCCCAGAAGTGAAAGAGCATTGTGCCCTCATGCCTTGGCAGTTTGAGGTACCAAGGTAGGCCCCTGGGATATTGTAAGGGGACCCATAGGCACGAGCAGTGCCCAGGGGGATTCTTTGCTGTCTCTCTCCCAGACCTGGCGGTGGTCTCATCATCATAGACAGCATGCCTGACATTCGAAAAAGAAAGCCGATTCCCCTTGTGAGCGACCTGGTGAGTAAGCAGCATGCCCTTCTCACCTAGTCCTGACCTATCTCCAGGGCTAGTCCCAGGGGTCCATTGGGACTGCTCCCTTTCTTTCTCTGGAGCCCAATGCTACATCTCATTTAATTCCTAGTGGTATCATGCCTCTGTCTCTTTTTTCTTGGTCCTTTTTTCCTCCTACCCCATCCATAATAATAATAGCAACAACAATAATAATAATAATATCCAGCCTCAGACACTTACTGGTTGTGTGACTCTGGGAAAGCCACTTAACTTCATTGGGCCTCAGTTTCCTCATCTGCAAAAAGGACATAGTAACAACACCTGCCTCACAGGGCTATTGTGTTGCTTTGTTAACCTCAGAGTGCTGCATAAATGCTAACTATTAGTATCCTCGTTTTATTTCCATATTGAGGAAACCGAGGCTCAGAGATGTTGCCTGTGACTTCTATCAGGGTCATAGAACACAGATAACCTGAACAGTATATCCAAAAAAATGACAACTGGTGACAGGAAGGGCTTCAAGATCACACCCTCTGATAATCAGTTGACAGAACTGGGAATGTTTATCCTGGAGAAGAGAAGGCTACAGGGAATGATAGTTTCGTTCAAACATTTGAAGGGCTGACACTTGGCAGGGAGATTAGGTTTTTTCAGATTGAGCGCATAGTAGGTGCTTACTAAATGTCTGACTTGACTAGCCAAGGATATCTTTTTTCTTTGGCTAGTCAAATCCACAAGCATTTAGTTAGCACCTACTGTGTTCTAGACACTCTGATTAAGTGTTGGAGATACGAAGAAAGGGGGGAGGGACCAGTCCCTGCTCACAAAAAGCTCACAGTCTAATGAGGGGGAGGGGGAAGGAACAACATGCGAACAACTATTTGGGGGTGGGCATGGGCCCTATCTACCAGGAAGCTCCCTCTTTTTCCCTCCATTCGCTCCCAATCTGGCTCTTGATTCTCCCTTCCTGCCTTCTTCCTTCCCCTAGATGCTTCCTCAGTTCCATATTCATAGCACCCAGCCCCATGACTTGGCCAACTGGTGCATATTTCCCATTCAGTACATTTCCAGAAAACCCTTGGGGGAATTTCTGGCTTTCTGGGAAGGGGCGGAGTAACCATTCTAACTCCCAGCATATACCTCGGTGTAATGGAAGCAAGGTCGTGGTGAGCTAAGGCTTCCTGTTCTGACTATTCTAAACCTTCCCAACATCTCCCAGGAACATGGCCAGAGATTCAGCCTTGTTGCTTTCTGTACTTTCCGGCATAAGTGCCCAGAGGTACCATGGAGTGATGGAAAGAGCTGGCTTAGGGCCCAGATCTCATCTGCGTTACTGTGCACTGCTATGGGCCTCAGTTTCCTCATGCCCTCATGTAGTGCTTGGATTTCCTAATCTCAAAGGTCTCTCCCAGTTCTCCACGTATGATCCTATGACTGGCCTGCCATCCCCATCCATCCCTGGCTACTGCTTATTTCCTAAAATTAACAGTGTACAATCTCCACGTTAAAAATCTGAAACAATAGCCAACCTTCTCCCTACCCCCACCCCATTGGAGAGTTCCTTCTTTCTTCCTATAGAATATGGAAAGGTCACCCTGGAAAGGGCCTTAGAGCTCCTCTTCATTTTACGGAGGAAGAAACTGAAGCCTGGAGAGGATCCCTATTCCCTACCCCCAGACCACATCATACCAGCCAGGGCTATTCCTGGGCTGGGAGGAACAAAAGGGTGGAATCAGGCAGTTTTCCATCTGACCCTGCCAAAGCCTCACTCCTTCCCTTTCTCTTCTCAACTGGGTCTGACATAAGTACTAGCTTGCCAGAGCACCCTCCCCATCCTGGGCCTTGATACCCTTCACCCCTTACCACCTTGGTACCATTGTAGTGCTTGTGACTGGTGGGAGCCATAACCTGCTTCTGTAGCTCAGGTAGGGGTAGGATGCTGGTGACTGGGCCCTTCCTTATCCTTAAGGTTGCCAGCCAAATGTTGGCCTTACTCCCATAGCATTTCCAAAGAGAGCATTTGAGAGCAGGGCTTTCACAGACCTGGGCAGATAGATATGTCTGAAGGGGATATGGTGTGTGTGTGTGTGTGTGTGTGTGTGTGTGTGTGTGTAAGGGAATGGTGGATGTGGGGAAAGGCTCTCTGAAGGTAACACCATTCATTTCCTTTTCTCCTGCTGCCTGGACATTCAGGCGATGGTAAGTGACCACCATAGTTTCCTTCCCAACAATCCTACTCTCAAACACTCTCAATAGTCCTTGCTGCCTCTCCTACCTCCTGCCTACTGTCCCTAGGACACTTCAATATCCCAAAGAGCTTGTGCCCCACTATTCTCCTGTAGAGAATATCCTCCTATAGGATATCCTCCTATCCCACTATCCTCCTATAGAGGTGGGATGGCTAGGGGGTCCCTGCCACAGCTATCAGTCGACAAGTGGGGGAGGTGCAAGAGGCAGTTAGCTCCTTCACCATGGTCCATGATACCAATGTGTGACTAGTGATTTCAAATGAAGACTGATGGTTCTGATTCTGTGGCTGGTGGTTTCATTCCATCAGGGATTCTGATCCATAGCTGATTCTTCCACCTTTGGCTTTTCTCTTTTAGTCCCTGGTCCAGTCCCGGAAGGCTGGGATCACCTCTGCACTGGCCTCCAGCACCTTAAACAATGAAGAGCTAGTAAGTGGGCATGGGTAGTGGGATGGTGGAGGGGAAGGGGCCCCCTTTGGGAGCCTATGGATCTGGGATTTTGCCAACAGATGCTCTGGCCTTGAGGATGGGAAAAAGCAAAATATAAGGTAATCCCCAAGTCAACAAGCATTTATAAGCACCTACTATGTGCCAGGCACTGGGCTAAGCTCTTCAGAAATAAAGAAAGGCAAAAGACAGTCCCTGCTCTGGAGAAGCTCATTATTAGTGAAGGCAACATGTAAACACACAAGACATATGAAGAATAAACTAAAGATAATCTGGGAGGGAAATCACTAGCCTTAAAGGGGAACTGGAAAGGCTTCCTGCTGAAGTCTGGATTTTAGCCAGAAGACAGGAAAACCAGGGGGCTGAGATAGAAGTTGAGAGAGTTTCTGGCAAGGGGATAGCCAACAAAAATTCCTGGAGTCCAGAGAATGAAGGTTTGTGCAAGGAACAGCAAAGACGCCAATGTCACTGAATTATAGGAAGGGGCCAGGTTATAAAGGGATCTGATGGCCAAAAAAATGAAATTTGATACAGGAGGTAATAGGGAGCCAGTGCAGTTTACTGAATAAGAGTTGGAGACAGAGGGAAGGTGGTGTAACATGGTCACACCTATGCTTTAGGAAGATCTCTGATAGCTGAGGGGAGGATACATGGGAGTAAAGAGAGACTCAAGTCAAAGAAAACACCCAGAAGGCTACAAAAGTTCAGGTGTAAGGTGATGAGGGCTTGCACCCTCAGGGTATTAGCAGAGTCAGAGGAAAGAAGGAGAAACATGATGAAGGCTGATGTGGTAGGACTTGGAATCTGACTGGATAGAGGAGTGAGCCAGGGGTGAGAGAAAGTAAGGAGTAAAGCATAATAGATTGTAAGTATGAGTGACTTGGGGCAGGGGGGATCCTCTCAAAAAGAAAGTTAGAAAGAAGGGACAGGATTGGGGAGGAGGCATAATGAGCTCAGATTCCAATGAGCTCAGTCTTGAGTTTAATGTCTATGGGACATCCTATTCAACAATCCTTCCTGACATCTCCCCTGACCAGCACCTATTTTTCAATATTGTCTCCTTCCCAGGGACCAGCGTCTTCTTGTAGGCATGAAAGGTGCAGGCTACAGGCAGGTGCAAACTCTTGGAGACTGGTGTCTCTGGCTTTTTTTTTTTTTTACTGCACAGTTTCTCAAAAGTGGTCCACCTTTTTTGAGTCTTCTAGGAGAATAGAAGAAGGAAAGATGTGCCACAGTCAATTAAAAGGCATTTATTAAATGCCTACTATGTGCCAGACACTGTGCTAACTTCCAACAGCACAAAGAAGGGCAAAAAACAGTCCCTGCCCCCTAGGAGCTTATATTTTAATGGGGGAGATAACATGCAAACAACTATGTACAAACAAGCTTATATATAGGGTAAATTGGAGATTATCTGAGAAGTAAAGGCACCAGCAATGGGGGGTGGGGTAGCCTGGGAAACTTGATCAGGGGCAGCTAGGTGGCACAGTGGATAGAGCACTGACTCTGGAGTCAGGAGAGCCTGAGTTCAAATCTGGCCTCAGATACTTGACACTTACTAGCTGTGTGACTCTGGGCAAGTCACTTAACCCCATTGCCTAGCCAAAAGAAAAAAAGAAACTTTTATCTCTCTTAAGTACCCCCAATGTGCCAAACTCTGTGCTCTGCTGTCCTCAGGGAACTCCAACGGCTGGGTAGGAAGCAAAATTCAGACCAGCGAAAAGACAAGAAACAAGCAGAAGTTCCTATGAGCCAAACAGATCCTCAGAACTGGAGGATTTAGAGAGGGACTCTTGTGGATTGGGATAGATGAGGAGGCCTCCCTGGAGGAAGTAGGAATCCAACTGGGCTTGAAAGGAGAATAAGAAATGGGCACAGAGAAAGAAAGGTCAAGGTGCTTGTTAGAAGCTAAAGGAACTGTTGGAAGGGGACCAGGATGGTGAAGGGACTGGAGACCATCTCGTTATGAGGCTCTACTGAAGGGACCAAGGATATTTAGCTTGGAGAATAAGAATTGGTTGGGGGGAGGGAGAGTGGCAGGGGACATGATTTCTCTTTTCAAGGATAACCAGCGGGTGTCCAAGTATTTGAAAAAGAAGAGGAATTAGCCGTGTTCTTCTTGGCCCCAGAGGTCAGGATTAAAAGTAATGGGGGAAGGGGGAGGGGAGGAGTCAGAGAAGGGCAGATTTCTGGCGCTCGGAGGAAGAATCGAACAATTAGAGCCACCCAAAAGTGGAATGGGCTAAGTCAGGGGACAATGAGCTTACTGTCAGGGGGAGTCTTCAAGGGAAGGAGGGGTGAGCCTTACAAGAAGATGACTTCCAAGGTCCTTTCCAGTTTTCAGGTTGTGATTCTGTGCTTGCCAGTATAAGAGGAGGGGTGTAGATGAAAGGGATGCTCTGTTGGTCCGGGCCCCTGCCATCAGATGCCCCTCTCTCTGTCTCTGCCTTCCTCTCCAGAAAAACCATGTTTACAAGAAGACGCTTCAAGCCTTAATCTACCCCATCTCCTGCACAACCCCCCACAACTTCGAGGTGTGGACGGCCACCACACCCACCTACTGCTATGAGTGTGAGGGGCTTCTGTGGGGCATTGCTCGGCAGGGCATGAGATGCACCGAGTGTGGGGTCAAGTGTCATGAAAAGTGCCAGGACTTACTCAATGCTGACTGCCTGCAGCGTAAGGACAGACCCAACGGGGACTATCTTGGGTGCACTCTCCCTAGGCCTTTTCTTCCCTCCCCTCTGGGGCACAAGGGGGCATTTCTCTGCCTCTCTTATTGTCTGTCTTCCCCTAAGTTGACTCAGGTCAACTCAGACACCAGCAGTGCCGACTCTCCTTATATTTTTCTTCCTGGACTTCAGCACCAGCTCACCAGGTCCTACAAGGGACTTTGAGCTCAAATCCATAATTATCTCAGCTATTGGCATGGGCAGGCCTAGCATATGGCATACCAGACCCACGTTCGAGTCTGCCTCACATTGGGTGGATTCCAGTGGCTATGGTGACCTGGTTATCCTAGGGCAGAGTAGGAGAAAGTGGGGATGTTAATAGCCAGGGCTCAACAGAAAATGGAGTAAGTGTGGAAGTGACCATTAGCTATGTGCAAGGTGGTGGGGGGCTCAGTCAGGGGATGAGGAGAATGGGGATACAGTAAAGAGAATGAAAAGTCTGAGGGGAAATGGGAATTCATTAAGCAAAGTAAGGGCAAAGTGATGGGTGATCACTGAGTAAATGGAGGCTGCACATGCATCGTGATACAACGAGAAAGATTACTGGATTTGGAATCAGAGTTCAAGTTTGGTTTCAAACCTTGGCTCTGCCACTGACTCCCTATATGAATTTAGGCAAACCTCAGTTTTCTCATCCGCAGAATGAGAGAGTAGAGCTAGATGGACCCTGAGGTCCCCTTCTAGCTCTTAATTTTATCTGAGTGAAAGGGGGAGGGACAGCTGGAGGAAGATGGGGAAACAGTGACGGTGACTGGGGAGGGAATTGGGATTCAGTGAGGGGACTGGAGGATCAGTGAAAGGGGCAGATGCTCACTGAGGGTTTAACAGCCTAATGTCCAAGCATTCTTTTGCTGCCACTCCAGGAGCTGCAGAGAAGAGCTCCAAGCATGGGGCCGAGGACCGCACACAGAACATCATCATGGTGCTTAAAGACCGCATGAAGATCCGGGAGCGGAACAAGCCTGAGATCTTTGAGCTGATCCAGGAGATCTTTGCAGTCTCCAAGACAACACATACACAGCAGATGAAGGCTGTGAAACAGAGCGTCCTGGATGGGACGTCCAAGTGGTCGGCTAAGATCAGTATCACTGGTGAGGTCCACCTGGGTGCTGGGATGTATGACCAGAGGCACAGCAGTGGGTTGGGTGCCCGAGGCTAGGCTCAGTTTATGGTGTATACTAGGCAGCAGTGGCATCTATGCCCTTCACTATTATTTCTTCTCAAATGGCTTTCCACCTCGCTATATCTACCCCAGGCCCCCTCTGTAATCACCAGGCTCCAAGCCACTTGGGAACATCTCCTTGGCCCTCTAGTGATGCCCTTAGCACCCAGTTCTTAGAGGTTTTTTGTCTAAGCCAAGGTCCAGAGGTGACTCGCACAGTGCTTAGGATAATGCCTAGTACATAGTAGATGCTTAACAAATTCTTAATTTACTATTGACTTACTCCTTTAAATGTCCTGGGAAATGTCCATGCCACCCTGTGTCCTCAGCATCCCCCTAGCATCATCTTAGGCTCTTGGTATTACTTAGGGCCATTTTGCATTCCCAACACACCACCAGTAGCACTTTGGGTATCTTGTCCCCTGGGTTGCCCTGTTTAGTTCAGTTCTATAGAGGCTTACAAGCATGTATGGGTATATGTACAGGTGATACGTGTGCAAGATTATGGTTTGTGTATTTGTGTCTGTATCTGATTATGTGATATGTGTACATGTGAGCACAGTTCTGGTATACATATGCATGTGTGTATGTATTATGCAAGTGTGCTAGTGTATATGCCCCTGAATCGTGTACATGTGTGCTTACATTTGTTTGTGCATATGTAATCTGACCTGGTGTGTACATTTGCATGTGCTCACACATGTGTTTGTACATGCATGTGTGTGTTCCAGTGGTCTGTGCCCAGGGCCTTCAGGCAAAGGATAAAACCGGCTCCAGTGACCCCTATGTTACTGTCCAGGTCGGCAAGACGAAGAAACGAACTAAAACCATCTATGGCAATCTCAACCCTGTGTGGGAAGAGAACTTCCATTTGTAAGTGCCCTCACCTGGAGGTGTCTCCCAGTGCTCAGGGAGGACCCACCTGGCCCTGAAATCCCTTCTGGCGAGGAGGTTCAGTCCCCCTCCTTCCCCTCCTTCTCTCAGATTCCCCCTGGCACTGATGGTGAAGGCATGAACAGTTTCCCCTTCCCTCCATCTACCCCACAGTGAGTGCCATAACTCTTCAGACCGCATCAAGGTGCGTGTCTGGGATGAAGATGATGACATCAAGTCTCGAGTGAAACAAAGGTTCAAGCGAGAGTCAGATGACTTCCTGGGCCAGACCATCATTGAAGTCCGAACTCTGAGTGGCGAGATGGATGTCTGGTACAACCTAGGTGAGCACCCACAGAGCTGCTCCTGCCATGTTTGGACTGGGGGAGAGGCACAATGCTTTGCTGGGGGAATCTCTGGTCTGAGGAAGAGACAAGGCTTTTTCTTCAAGAAGTCTCCAGTCAGAGGTCTGGATAGGTCCCAATTATAGGAGGGAGACTAGAAAAGAATACATACATACATGTATATACATATATATATATATATATATGTATGTACATGTATGTATGTATAATCCTTGCCCTTGGGTCTTCAATCTGATTGGACAATTTAAATACCATCAGACACCAGGAATCATCTGGTCCTTTCTCCTGTTTCCTAATCCATAATCCTATCCCTAAACCATACATGGGGCTAGGGTTGTCTGCCTCATGCCTCCAAGGTCTCTCTTCACTGATCCAGATCATTTTGGGGACCCTTTCTGACCTTCTGTCTCTTCTTTCTTTGGTTCCCAGACAAGCGGACAGACAAGTCAGCTGTGTCTGGAGCCATCAGATTACACATCAGTGTGGAGATCAAGGGTGAGGAGAAGGTGGCACCATACCATGTCCAGTACACGTGTCTGCATGAGGTGAGACCATCTCAGTGTCCTCATTCTCCCTCCAGGGCCTCTGGGCCCTTCCAGGTATCCTTCAGGCCAATGCCACTATCCTTGGATTGAAATGCAGGTGGTCCTATCTGTACCCCACCCTCTAATTCTTATACCTCTCTCCTTAATCCCTGTGCCCCTTCCTGGTCTTGGTTCTGTCCCCTCTTACCATTGATCTGATCTGTTTCCCCTCTTCCTCTTCAGAACCTGTTCCACTTTGTAACAGATGTGCAGAACAGTGGTGCTGTCCGGATCCCAGATGCAAAGGGTGATGATGCCTGGAAGGTCTATTATGATGAGACTGCCCAGGAAATTGTGGACGAATTTGCCATGCGCTATGGCGTCGAATCCATCTACCAAGCCATGACGTGAGACTAGCCATGGGGTGGAAGGGTGGGCTCTAAAAGATGGGGGTAGGTATAGGAGTAGGTGGGAGGTGGGATGGATTCAAAACAGAGAGGAGAAGAGAGTCAGGCAGGCTGCTACAATCAAAGGGACACCAGAGAGGATCAGTTGGGAAACCTGGTATTATGGGAGTGGAGAAATGTGAATCTCCACTGGTCAGTCTTAAGTTCAGGATGGTATTGGGGAAGTGGTGGGTCACCAGTGGGGTTAAAGGTAGGAAGTCTGTTAGAAGACAGTTAGGTGGAACTTGAGAGAACAAGGATGTGGCCATGGGAAGGAGAACCAATCAGGGAAACATACTGGGAAGTGAAGGAGGGGAGGAAATGGCAAGTTTGGGATTTAGCAAAACAATGTCACTTAATGAGCAAGGAGAAAGAAGAACACAGACAGACAGACAAAGAGAGACAGACAAAGAGGGAGGAGGAACAGATGAGACAGTGAGAAAGGCAGAGAGACAGACAAGTTGAGCAACTAAGACACAGAAATTGAGGAGGGAGCTAGCAGAAGTTATTTCTCAAGTCATAGGGAAAACCACATAATTTCAAAGATGTTTCAAGATATTTAGTTTTTATATTTTTGACACATTTCATTCTTTTTAAAATTTTTGATTTTATTATTTTTCCAATAAGCATTCATTCAAATGTCTCTCCCACTCCCCCACTGAACAATTTCTTAAAACCCTTATAACAAACATGCATAGTCAGAAAAACAAATTTTCCCATTGGTCATGTCAAAAAAAGTATGTCTCATTCTGCATTTGAGAAAAGCATCCTTAATACTCAAAGAGACATAAATAGAGACACAGATTCAAGAGAGGAGGAGAAACATATAGAGACTATGACAGAGGGAAAGAAACAGACAATATGAAATTAACAGAGAGGATACAGAGAGAAAGACAGAAAACAAACATAGACTGAGACAGGAAACAGGGAAGAAAGGAGAGGAGGGAAGGAAGGAAGGAAGGAGGGAGGAGGGTAGGAAGGAAGGAAGGAAGGAAGAAAAGGAAGGAAGGAAGGAAAAGGAAGGAAGGGGAAAGAAGGAAGGGAGGGAGGGAGGGAAGAAGGAAAAGAGGGACATATATTCCTCAGAGAAACCTTTTGTAGGGTGACATTTAAAGTGACATAAAGCTATGGCTGAAGTCAAATCTGGATCCTCCTCATTGCAAGCCTTCCTGGAGACAAGGAGGACAGGAGCTCAGTTCCCTGACCAGAGGGATGAGATGGCCCCTCTACAGAGCCCCTTGCTGACTTGTCTGCTTTGTTTCTCCTTTCCCCAGACATTTTGCCTGCCTCTCCTCTAAGTACATGTGCCCTGGAGTACCTGCTGTCATGAGCACCCTGTTAGCCAACATTAATGCCTACTATGCCCACACCACAGCCTCAACCAATGTCTCTGCTTCTGACCGATTTGCTGCCTCCAACTTTGGGGTCAGTACCCAGTCTCCTGGGCCCATTAGAGGGGGCCTCTTACCTCTGCCCTTTGCCCCATCCAACCAGATGGACACTCCCTGCCAGGACTGAAGCAGAACTGGCCAAATTCCCTGTACTCCCTAATGATTGTGGGAAGAGATGCCAAATCAGTTTCTGACTATCCCGGGTCTCCCAGTAAAACTCTGGATTGAGTTGTCAAGCCTAGAGGCACCTAACGGTGCCCATAGCCCAGAGGAAACTGTTGAATGGTACAGGCTCCCTCTAGCAGAGCTTGTTCCTCTGCCCTCTCAACTGGGCCTTTGACTCTCTGTCTTTAGTGCCCCTAGGTCTCACCTAGATGGATTCTGTCAAGATGGAAAGATGGGGCAGTAGGTGACAAGACCACAATTTCTATATGGCAATTGCTACTGTTTCATGCAGGGTTGGTCCTCTCCTGCTAGGGAACACAAGGGTAAAGAGACATCTCTGATCCTCTCCTTCTACCCATGGGTAGATGAGGTTGTACCTCCTACCAGGGTAGGATAATCACTGGCATCTCTAATCTTCCCCTTCTTCCCTGCTCCATGCCCACTGTCTCCTCAGAAAGAGCGCTTTGTGAAACTCCTGGACCAGCTGCACAACTCCCTAAGAATTGACCTGTCCATGTACCGGGTAAGAGACACATATGTGTGCACATGTGTGTAAAACACATGCACGTGCCACTACACCTCCCAACATGTACACATGTTCATGAGGAAACACATAAGCTATGATGTAGGTGCAAACATATGGAGCACGTGCATATTTGCCTTAGTGCATACTCAGGGAAGATGGCACTAACACACAAGCACACATGGAAATAAACACACTTCAACATGTGTACTTGCACATGCCATA